GTTTACACCCATGTGACTGAGGGTGTATTCTAAACTTACATATCAAAAGTCCATTAGAGCCTTCTAGTTGAAGCAATCCCATACATAAATTTTGCTTCATGCATTAGCAGAGTTATATTAAAGAAATGAATTAGGACCATTGCTCAGTTCAGTTATTTTTATGTGTATTGAGGCACCCCCCCAAACCTGATTGAGGCCCCCTTGACCTGGAGGCTGTACAAACACACGGAAAGACCTGGAATTTGCTTCTAAGACCCAATAGTCTCATTAAGTTTGGATTTCCTTGTAATGCATTAAGTCCAGGCTCCCTGTAGCCTCATTCTTATGAGCTGAGTATTTATTCTAGGAAAGACACGTATCCTCCTCTGTTTGGTTTTTATCCTACTCAGGGGTAAGGAATGCTGTTCTTTCATAGGATTTTCTAATCAACCCTCCAGGAAGGAAAAAGGGTTTAGAGACACCGTCCTTCCAAGAAAGACCACAACCACAGTTGCACTGATGAGACCACAAGGAAAGATGACAGCCCGAAAAGACAGAAGCGCTGGCAGGAAGCCAGGCCCAGACAAGGCCTGCATAGGCTACGATGGTTCAGTGCCCCTTGAGCAGAGGCTGTATGAAGCCCTGCTGGGAATCAGATGTGCCCACACACACACCAGATAGGTTCTTCCTGGGAGTCAAAAATAGGAACGAACATGATATATAATGCCCTCCATTAGAGGAAAACTCTCCCCCCGCCCCAGGAACAAAGCTTAGGTTGCCAGAGGAGGTGTAGTTACACCTCTCCTAACCAGCTTTCTGGATTTGTTATTATCTCCTGTACCTTGACTGCCAATTGAACAGATCTTCATGGGTCTTCTGAAATGATTTACCTACCATGCTGAGTGATGTGGGACCACCATATATGAGGACTTCTTCAGAGCTAGTGATAATCTCCAGAATCTCCCTTTTGGAACAAATTGGCATTGTCAGACTTTTGCAAGGGTTTGACATTCCCTGTTTATCGGTGTTATGTCCTGCAGATCTGTGGCAAGGAGCAGCTTGCTCTGGGTTTTACCACTTCCATGGCAGTTGCTATTCTTTGGTCTGTCAACATCAGCTCCAGATCTTCCCCTTCTCATTCTCCCACAAATGTCATCTCTATGGTCAAGTGCTGCCCCACCCAGCTTCAGAAAGCTTTCAACTTGTTCATTCCAATGTCATGAGCTGTCTGTCTGCCCGGTGAGGACACCATCACAACTGGTGATGATGAGAGGAGGGCTATACCCATTTGGCAGGCTGAGAATTCACAAGGCAGCAAGCACTTGTCGCCACAAATAAACCTTGGAATGTATCTTATGAGCAAGATTTTAATTGCAGTTGGCATGTGTGAGCCTAGTGCTGGGGATGAGACCATCTGTGACACTGACAGAATGAGACTCCGAATCCTGGTGACTTTAAGGCTGTTTCTGACCTGTTTTAAGATCAGAACGCTGTGGAGGATAGATTTGTTGTTACAAGGGAAGCTGGAAAGCAGTTCAGTCTTTTCCGCACAACTCTCAGTCAGTTACTGTCAGGAATTACAAGGCCTCAGTTATGCTGATAGAAATTAGTTGTAACTGTTGACATAATGGGGTTTCTGCAGGCTTAACATTTTGGAGCCCAAGGCACAATTTGCCCAGAAATAGGTCATTTGGGGTTTTTTATGTGGTTTTGTTGCTGTTGTTAATACAAGCATTTATCTCTTTTTTAGCAATATGGGTGCTGCAAGCACCAGACTAAGAAATAGCAATTGTGACTGCAGGTTTACACTGTAGTCAGAGGTGTGACTGAAGCCCCTGGAAATATCCCTACACTAGCTTGATCTAGCTACAGGTGGGACCAAGAGCAGTGAAGGTGCAATGGCACCGACTTCAGTAAGTACCTATAGCCTCTGGCTGAAGCCCGTCCCGTTATTGTTTCTCTGCAACCAGTACCCAAGCTAGTTAGATCAAAATTAGCATAGGTCTGCTTATGCCTGTGGCAATCACACCTCTCTCTGCAGTGTAGACAGACCTGACAGAGTGGATAAGGGCAGAAATAAGACTGCAGAAAGTGAACCCTTTTCTCAACTTATCTGTTCCCTGGGGCAGGTTCTGATATCACTTAATACACATACACAGTGCAAATACATCACCTCACTTCAGCACAGTCCCTCCAGAACTACACAGAGCAATCAAAATCATTATAGGTCTAGCAAATAAGACGTACAAGGAGGAAAGGTTGGAAGAACTGGGATTTTTTAGTCCAGGGAAAAGAGGACTGAAGGCTGATTCGATTTAATAATGGTCTTCAAGTTCCTGAAGGGTGGTTACAAAGAGGATGGTGATAGACTACTCTCTCTGTCTGTAGGTGACAGGATAAAAAATAATGGCCTTAAATGGCAGCAAAGAAAATTTTGGTTGGCTATTAGGAAGGATTGACTGACTATAAGAGAGGTTGAACACTGGAACAGGCTACCTAGGGAGGTTGTGCAATCTCCATCCTTGGAAGTTCTTACAAGCAGATTAGACAAATATTTATCTAGGTTGGTTCAGGCAGAAGTGATTAAATAAACTGTACTAGAGGGCCTCTTGCACCCCCTTCCAGCCCTATTCTCTAGGATTTTATCTGAGATCAGACATCAGCATAGAGATGTTACAAGGCATCTAAGTGCCCAGGGCAGCTGTGAAGCACAGAGGCAGTGGTGACTTCCAGCTGATACCATGCTGCTGGCACAGCTGTGTGGCTGCGATGGCACCTGCTATTTTCTCTTCCTCCTCCTTAAGTTAGCGTCCAGGGCCCTGCCTTAGTTATGCTACTGGAGCATCCCTGTAGTTATATAATCACATTGGTTATTTTAGTGACAAAAAAAGGGTCCAATATGAAATCACATCAGGGATCCATCTGACTTCCATGGGAGTGTTCATACAGGGGCTATGCAGGTGTGGGTATGAAAGGTGTGGGAGGAAGCAGGATTCTCTGCTGCCTCACTCATCATCAATAAAATTGTTAACATAGCTCTACCTAGTGAATCTTGATGATCAGTTTTGACTGGCAAGTAAGAAAGAACCCAACATAGCACAGAGCCCAGGCTGAGTTTGACAGCTGTACATAGCAAAATATTGCTTGAAAAATGAACAAATCTCCTTTCAAAGCCCGTGAAAGACCTAGAACTTCATGATGCCATTTTTGCAGTCACTTCTCAGAGTGAATCTGCCCTCTTAGAAAACATATACATTGCTTCCCTTTCACTCTGATACACTTCTTGCCTTGTATAAATTTAGACCAAGTAAAATACTAGTGACCCTCATCTCAGAAAGCTTCTCTGTTTTCCAGTAGCACCTCCACTGTGTGGAAGACTGTCAATCTGTTTTATCACATGCATCCCGAGATGGCTTTTTTTTCTCCCTCCCTGTCTCTTTTGTGTCACTGCAGAATTCTTGGTGTTGATCTCAGTGTACTTGTTACTGAAAGACTTGAATAAATCCTTTCTTCATGGCTATTTCTGCTGCTGCAGGCCTCCTATACAGCCTGTTTCAAGTTCCCCCCTGCCCCCCCCCCCTTTTTTTAAATCTGTCACTTTCATATTTGGTAATTTCCAAGTATCTTTGAATTTAAATAGCCACGGCTAACTTTATCTGACAACATGCTAACCTTCACCTGCTTGGGACCTTTGACAATAATGATTTTCTACTTGTGTAACTTTCTTTCCTATACACACTTGCTTGACCCTAACTTCTGGCTGCATCCATGGGACCAACTCAGTTCCAATGGAGAAAAGGGTCTCTAAACCCAGACAAATCCAGGGTAGTATGTATGTTCAGATCCTAGTATCTAAGGACATTTACCTCATGTTGGTCTCTTCTTGGAGACTTTCTATACACTGTTTCTTGTGTTCCACACCAGATACAGTAGTCTCACTTCCAAACACTTGCACAGTCATAGCTTTGCTTGTAGCTCTACTCTCATTCTCCTACTTCCCTTCTTGCTGTCTTCTATCCTTGCAAGGTGACTCTTTCCCACATTTTTTGGTCATTTCCTATACCTGGAATGCCTTCCCTCTTCTTCCTTCTTTTTTGCATTAAGCCATCATCCTCTCTCTAAACAAATCACTTATATATCTTTGTCTTCCAAGATGTCTGCTAGAGTTACAAAGTGCATGTGTGACTTTTAAATGTGGACCCAAAGTAAAGACAAATGGTCATGTTTCTAAGGTTTTTAACTGGCAGTACAGCTGTGTGGATAATGGACTGCTCAGTCTGATAGTTGGCCATACAAATCAGATGTCTTCAATTTAGATCAATCAAAAAGTTCTGGTATTATTTAACTCACTCTCATGCCTCTTTAAAAATGCAAGCCAAATTCAAAATACTACATTTCAAATTCAAAACAAAAATTAAGTTCATTTTGAACATGTTCAGAATAAAACATTCCCACTTTTCCAAATGTTTTCTTTTTTTTTTATTCACCAAATTTGACCTGAATTCACAAATAGTTTTGGTTCTCCCCAAAACTACGTTTTTTCAGTGAATGTACTAGTTACTGGAAAAATTTTGCCTGGCTCTAACTGGAAGACCTGTATTTTATTCTCCACTTTGCCAAACTTCACATGAACCTTCATCATATTACTTCACTCTTCCAGATCTCTAAAATGATGCTAATCATCCCTCCCCCCCTACAAGGACTGGGTGGTCATTCTTAATTCATTAATATTTACAAGGCACTTTGAGATCCTCAGCAGGACTGTGTTAAAGAAAAGCAAAGTATTATTATTGTTGCAGTAAACCAGAGCATTAAAGTTTCATACAACTGGTTTAGCTGAAGTTCAGAATATGAGGAATGATGATATGAACAAGGAAAAAAAATTGCAATCCATTTGCTCCAACATGGATTGCCCCAACCATACACAACAAAAAGGGTGAAATATTTCATTTCAGAGAGGCAAATTGCTGGAAAAAATAAAAAGTGGCCATGGTATCTGTTAAAAATCTGTTTCCTCTTACCCAGGACATAAATCTCACTGTTGACTACAGCTGTGCTGAAGCGGTATTTGGAGTACTTCATTGGGGTGCGCTCTGTCCATTTGTCTTGGCCTGGGTCATACTGAAACATTCTGTTACTTAATCGATCTGGCTCATCGTCAGGGAGATCCATCTGTATGAAATATGACAGCCATATAATAATACAACATTTGGAGCCCTCTGCACACGCCTGCATGCAATTAATCACAGCAGACAGCTGAGCAGATAAATAACATAAACACATCAATTATAGCTGTGAAGTGATTCATACTCACTACGACTTAACAGCACCCATGACTTGTGGCTGGAAGTACACTGTAGAAGGCAGATGAATAAAGTGCATTTATATTCCATAGCAATGGAGTCAAGGATTTGAGTAATAACAAAACATCTATGGACTGAGCTCTGACAGAACATAGCTCTTTTACAAGGCCTTTGTGAAGCCATACGAATAAAGGGAAGACCTTTTTCACGACATTTTTTTCTTCTGCTGAAGACTGAATTTCTATTTACTTTCTTACTTGGGCTGCACCATGAGTTTCAATGATGTATGTGGAAGGCTGTTCTAAGAGCTTCACGCACACATTACTTATGCTGAACTAGTATCTGTTAATTTAGTCAGTCCACATACATCCAAGTTGCACAATTGCTAAATATTTCCAGTTAATAGTTGTAATGACAACCTCCTAGCTCCCAACTAGGCAGAAAAGGTTATTTAGATAAATGTGATTTCTTTTATTAAACCAACTAAATAGTTGGGGAAAAAAAGTTCTTTGCAAGCTTTTGGGTACAAATGCCCTTCTTCAGGCACAGGGAGTGTCTCTAGCTCACAACTACATTTTTGCACCTTTAATGACATCTCTAGTCACTCCTACTTGCCTGATTTTCCTAATCTTCCCTTTTTCGTCCTCCTCTGATAAAACATAGGCACTCCAGCTCTGATTATGTTTCCTGAGTGTGGCACCTTTAAATATAAGCTGTCTGCTTTGGGGGAAGACTGATAAATTTCGGAATGAAAGGTGAGCAAGAAAGAGAGGTGGAGGGATTGCTACTGCATACTCACAAAGTTGTTATTATCCTTTCTTTGCTTGTTGTTTTCCTTAGTATAGAGCAGTGGTTCTCAACTTCAAAGCAACCCTTGGAAAATGCCAGCTTGTAGCTTTCACTCATTTTTTGACTATGGAAAATAACAGAGCCATTCTTCTGCTGCAAAGAACTCAGAAAGACCACAACTGGTCTTTGTTTTCGACACTGCGGATTTCCTTTTGAAATGTGTAGGTGTTTGCACAGTGCTAATACTACGTGGCACCCCACAGCATCCTTAAAAGGATCTCATGGCATCATAGGGCACTGCAACACCCTGGTTAAGAATCAATGGTACAGGCATCTTGAGGCTAAGGTAACGAGTGAGAAATAAGAATCCAGATAATGGAAGTCATCTATACTGACACTTATTTATGCTTTGCTCTTTCTGCATGGAAAACTTTTCACTCCACGCCTCCTTCCAGCCTACCTCTGGGGGGCAGAATCACCCCACTGTCCTCATCAGCCTAATTCCAAACAGCCCCCATTGACCCTTCTTATTATTAACAACCCCAAGTTTCCTTGGTATAATTCACTCTCATTGCCCTGCTCCAGTTTATAACTCCACTGATGCCAGGGAAACATTGTATCAATGCAGGCATGAAGTAATGCTGCAGTGAGTCAAGCCCTTCTTCTCCTGAACTGTTATTTTACATCCTGTCTTGAGTTTGTCTTTTCTTGTTTCAGTGATAAGGTCCCGGTGGGAAGGAATGTGATGTTATCTATGTTCTATAAACTGGCATATACATTTATGTCACTATATCGATATTATACTAGTAGTTCTGTTTATTACAATGGGGTGCTTGGTGCTGCATAAATATAAGGACAGCTCCTGAGCTGACCTGTGGAATATGTTCTATATTGTGCCTGCAACAGCACTGTAGCCTCATACACAACCTGAGAGGTAAATCCTAGTATATCTGGCACCATCCTATCTCTGTAGTGTTGGTCTTAACATCCTTATTTCTGTGTTAAGGCTAATGTTGAACTGTATAAGCAGGTTCTTACTTTCCACAGCAATAGCTTCTTTTCAATTAATGCTAATGCACTCACTATTGTATGTATCATCACATGCCCCCATGAGTTGTCACAGCCAGGGTAGTTGGGAGGTGTCAATTCCCATGTGTCTCACAGCAGCCTTTATTTTTGCCACTTTTGCCTCAATATCCATTGCAAGAGCTTTTCAGCTGCTTTTCCTTTTTTCAGTCTCTGCTGGGGAGATGGCTAAATAAAACAGGGTGTCTCACTTAGAGTCTTTGTTATACAAAAATCCTCCCCACTCTAGCATTTTACAACCAGGTTGTTTCCATATTGAGGATATTCTCAAATTTTACTTCTTTAAATAAAGAGAAGGTGTCTTTGTTTCGTTGTTTCTCTGTCAGAGCTATTCTCTGATTATTCTCTGGTCTCTTTGGGGACTTCTGTGCTCAGAATATTTTAAGAGATGCAAATCATGTTTGCTGCACACAATTTGGTCTTAAATACTTTTAAGATTTATTTCTTCAAAGGCATCCCAAACCAAGGAGATGTGACACTATTTTTAATGTCCTTCAGTCAATAATATGAATTACAAATGTCCCAAATACAGTGTAGCAAATTTTTCAAGCCAGAGAGAGTCTCAACTTGACTTTCTAAAATTAAACTGTACTGAGCAACAACAACAACAAAAGAAGTACCACTTTAAGGAAGGACGTTCACACTGGGGAATCAGAAAGGGGGAATGCTACTTTGGAAAGCAATCCATTTTGCTGCTATTGTTCTCTTTGTGCTGTTACTAAAGATACTTATGGTAGAGCTGAATGAAAATGTTACATCAAAACATGTTATTGGAAAATTCAGTTTGCATCAGAGCTATTTTTTAAAGTTATTTTTTCCATAGAACATTTTAATTTTTCATCAAAATCCAAAGCACCCAAAACCAGGAACAATTTCCTGAGAAACAGAGCTGAGCTCTGCAACTTCTTGAACTTCAGATTTACCAGAGTTCACAAGGTTGCATCTTAGGCTCCAATAGGGACGTGTGTCTTATTTTAACACAACTATTTTCTAATAATTAGAAGAGGCAAAGATGAAAAAAGTACCCGTTACTGGGAAGGATGAGACAAATTCATTTTCCATAGTATGTGATGAGGTAAAAGTGCCAGGCAAGCACCAAATATCATCACTGTTTATTTGTAATTAACATTTTGCTAGATTAAGGACTGAGCAAGGACTTCAAGGTGATCCCAATGACTATATAAAAATGGAAGGTGAGTGAAATCATGCCAAGACAGCTGCATTTTAAAGTCTGCCTCAATGTGAAGTTTTTCAGACAACTGCCTTTTATGGGATGTGGCGCATGCATCAAACTTTATATAGTAAGGACATTATTTCTTCAGGGTTGTTTGATTCTCATATTAAAGAGATCAGAGGAAAGAGTGCCATTTTTTGTTACTTATCCCTCATGTATGAGAGTGTTTCAAAAAGCAATGGTATTGTGTGTATGACAGTCATTTACTGAACTATGTCACTTCTCGAAGTAGTCATAAATGCTGCGTGTTTGATGACAGTGCACTGGTATTCCTCACTGGTATGTAGTGTCCCACTCCATTGCACAGACAATGGTTTTATTTCAAAACTGCCATTACTTTCTGAGACTGCCTTTGTATTTTAACCATGCAAGAAGCACCATGATGTTATACTGCACAAAAACTAAGCCCGGCTTTGCTAGTTAGTTCATATATAGCATTTCTTTACCTGGGGTGTCCAGCCTCCCATCACGTAGAGTTTATTTTTCACTGTCACCACAGCATGGCAAGCCAGTTGCAATGGAAGAGGTGCTACACTTCTCCAGCTCCCTTGCTCCATGGAGTATTTCTCAACACAGTTGGTGACCAGATACTGGTTTTTCAGTTTGGCTTGGCCTCCTATGACATAGAGGTCATTATGGATGGTGCCCAATGCATAGAGCTCACGAAACTGAGCAGTGCACAAACTTTCCCAAGACTGGTTTCCCCGATGGTAATACCTGTAGCAAAACCCCAGATTAGAAACACTGCAGCTCACAAAAGTCATAGCAACTTCTTTTGTAAATCAGATTCCTTCGGTTTCATTGTTTCTTTAGATAATTTTACAATGAGAAGAACATTTTTTCTTTCTTTTCAACAGAGAAGAAAATTTCTAGCTTTGAATTCAGTGCATTTATTTACGTGTATAGAAGTCACTCACAGATTGATGTGAGTCTTAGAACAGGGTTTAATATGGGTTTAAGGCTTTAAGTATAGGCACACGGCTGGAAAATGATGAACCTCATTAGGATGTCCTTATATTTGTATGTGCTGAATTCCACTGAAGTCAGTGGCAACCACAAATACTCAGCCCCTATGAATTTGGCTGCTTTGATTTAGGTGCTTACATATGTATTTGGAGGCTTACATTTAGATACTCACATTTGGCATTGCCGGCTTCAGTTTTTACTCAGTCTTTAATATGGAAAATTTTCAATTCTAATTTATGTCAGTTTGAGTAAGAACTGGGTAAAAACAGAGTGAGGCTCTCTGAGATATTTATCTTCAACATTATCCTCATCATATTTTACCTCCTCAGAGTTATCTTCATAGGACTGTTAATGATAGGCATAGATTCATGTGTGACCAAATCCCTAAATCATTCCCACAGCTCAAACATCAGCACCATTAGTAAATAACTGACCTGCAGGAATGAACTAGGAAAGAAAATACTAGCAGACCACCAATGCTTTGGGTCAGGGAAAGGTGAGGCTTACATAAATGCGTGAAAGGCCCAATCTAGCTCATCTTCAACACACAAAGATTGAATCTTAATGAACGGGCTTTCCCTTGTGAGTAAAGATGTCAGGATTTTCTCCTATATATGGGAGAGGCTTCATCATTTCATGGAGACAGGAGTACTGTCCTTTCTGACAAACTGATTCGGGTAACTGAAATCTCTGTACAAGCATATGGGGAAAGAAAGCTTTCTCCAGTAGCCTCTTTCTGCTCCCAGAAGCATGATTTAGAGTCAAACTTTATAGACAATTAGCCATTTAGAGGATACACACCTATAAATTTCAATGTTCCTGGTCTTTTGCCTAGACATTTTGGCAGCACTCGCCTCCCCCGCCACGATAATATCGTTGTTCTCAGTGACAACACCAGTGCACACACATCCCAAACCCTCCCCATACTTTGGAGAGGAAATGAAGTAAGTCTTTTTTGTGGCAGGAGCATAACAAAAACTGGCATCTGCATAGCTGCCGTGTCTTGATCTAATACCCAAGGAATTATTGCCGATGCAAAGTAAAAGGCTGGTGGTCTCCATGCCGTAGCGAAGACTGAAAGAGGGTTGGTTGGCTTTCTTGATGGTTTCCAATGCCTTCTCAATCATAGTATGACATTCAGAATTACAAAGTAGCACTGTGTTCCTTTTCCGAGCTTCCACTAGGAAGGAGGGGCTTACAAGTACCAGCCTCACCTGCTCCAGGAGCTCAATAAGGTGCTCTGAACGTGATTTTCGGCTGTGGTTCACCCATCTGAGGACCAAATCCAAGATGCTTTCCTCACGGGATACGTTCAGGTCATCTGATCTTATGAGGCTCAACAACTGCTGTGCTTCAATCTCTAAAATTTCTTCTTGTAGGCTCACCTCAGCAAAATGCCGGTACAAGTATCTCCTAGCTTGATCAGATAAGTCTTCTGCCCCAATATGCTTTGCAAAATAGTAGATCCCAACGCAGTTGGAAGCATCCATATGGTCCATCATGTATTTTTCACATGCACTGAAAATGTCTTCCATCTGCAGAAAGTATGCTGCAACAGCAACATTTTGCACATTCAGATGAGTGAGGTGCAAATCCGCACTGTACATGTAGTTGAGTATTATGGACACACTCTCTGCTGAGATGTCATAGAGCACTACCTCTCTTTGGGTGCACTCAAGTAAGCCACAGGTAAACATGGCTTTGAAATAGGGACTAAAAGCTGCCAGTATCAGCTTATGGCAAGGGAACTTCTCACCTTCTGCTACCAGGACCACGTCTATCATTTGTGTCAATTCTTTCATGCCATTTATTTGATCCAATAAAGTCAAGCTATGCAGCTGTCTTCTTTTCAGATCAGTCTTGTGATCCATGATAAAACTCAAAACTTTTCTGTTTCAAACCTCCTCTGGATCCTGTTTAATTTTTGGAAAGATTATTTGTGTGTCATTTGGCCTTCTTTCACCATACCTTTTTCTGGGGTGGAAAAACATAAAATGTTCCTATAAGCACAAATCTCTGACAACTGAATTTTACTGTTAAATCCTAACAATAGTAAATGCTGTTAGAGGACAGGTTACAAATCAGTAATACATACACTAGAATGTGCATAATCATTTCATTTTCCACCTAAACTTAATTCTAATCTGAGGACTACATTTTTTCACTCTAGTATTTGAGGTCCGAACACATGAAATACTATTTTCATTTTGCATCTGGAATTGATACATCTTTTAATATTCTGACTGGTTGTCTGAGTTTAATAGAAAATTCTCATTGCATTACAGAAATGTTCTAATGCTGTAATGAATACTACCAAATATTCATAGTGTTAGTTAGTGAGATCTGATATTAAAAATTAAGTCCCAACTGGTACTAAAATTGCTGGGTTCAGAAGGTCTTAATTAACCAAAGCTTCTATTGATGTCACATGCTAACATGAACCTTCCTGCTTGCCAAAAATCAGATCCATTCGATTCTGCCTGGTTCAGAAATTATTTATTGAAACAGATGCTTATCATAGAAGCCAGTTTTGCTGGCTTTTGCCAGATTAAAAAAATCTCATGTATTTTATTGGCCTCCCCTCTGTTACAAATAGACTTGGCACCTGAGAGTATTTGACCTAAAAGAATTCTGCAGATCTAATTTGCTGTCCACCATTTGTGCTGCCTGTCTTTTGCATTTATCTCTGCCTAGACATGGAAAATCAGCTGGTCAGTGTTGGTTTTGTTTATGGTCAGTAAATAATCACTCTCACTGTCAGATTTTCATATGCTAGCTAGCCCAAGGTTGTAGGTTTTGGGTGACATACTGTACCCAAGGCAGGGTTCTCACATGGAATTCATGTAGGACAGAGCCGGTTTCACAATCTTTTACCAGCCTTTAATTTTAGGTCTGAAAAACGCAAAGGGAAAAATATATTTTCAAGAACTCCATTTTAATTTTTGTCTTTTGCTCTGTTTTTCTCTCTTTTCCTCTCAAATATAAAAAGACCCTGCTTTACCACTTAATAGAAAGGGGCTGATTTCAGTGGAAGTACATTGGCAAATAACTGGAACAACACTAGCAATTCAGGCCCTGATTCTCCAAGTCAAAAGCCATTTCAAATGATCTTCTGGCTTCAATTTCCACCCCCCACCACCATTTCTTTTAGTCAAAGAAGCCCCCAGACCTCCATTTCAAAGTGTGCTTCTGTATCTGCCTCTTCTCTCTTTTCTCAGAGCCTGATCCAAATCTTATTGAAGTCAATGGTAGGATTCTCATTAACTTTAATAGGCCTTGGGTCAGGCACTCAGATATTCAAGCTTCAGCTCACGTGCACACCTACAGAAAACCAGTCTACTGCTTGGATGCTGAATGTCACCTTATGGTTTCGTCAGCTCACCAAGAGCAGACAGCTGGAACGTTTCAAAATCAGCTAGTCAGTCAGTGGCACGTTTCAGTGCTCACTGTTCCCTACAGACTTTGCCAGGAGTTTGATGTAGGTGAGCTCTGCAGGATGGGAACCCAGGGGGCTCACAAATCTGGTAACCCTGGGTTCATTCTCCATTGCATTTCACTTGGTATAGAGTCTACACTGTGGACCTTTCTACCTGTGCAATGTAGGTGCAAGACATCACCACCAAAGGGAGGGCAGGAAGAATCTGATTCATTAGCTTTGTGCACCCATTTTGCACAGAGGAACACAACTAGGAACACAAGACAGTAGAAATTCAAGTTCTGCTCAAGCCTGTATAAAGGGCCTTTCTCCACAACACGCTGATTCTCTGCTCAGGCAGGGATCACTCCTCTCAGGTCAGTGGAGTCATACAAGGCTGTTGCTATGAGCAGACACTTGGGGTGCTACTTATTCACTTGTCTCAGCACCACATGCTTCAGCTCAGCTCTCAGCTTGCAGAATAGTCTGAAGGAAAACATCCCTGAGCTTCTGTGCTTCTGCTAGCAGGAGACTGTCTCTTCCCAGACACAGGGGTAAACTTGTCTCTGCCTCTCCGCTCCTGCTGACCTTTTCTCTAGGCTTTAAACGGTAAGGGCAGCAAACAGAGAAATACTGCTGCAAGTAGGGTAACCACCATTTCAACAGAGAAAGGTGGGACATATGCCTGCCTTCCCCCACCCCTGTGCACCTGCCATGGCCAGAGCAGAGCCAGGTGGGGCGAGGTGGGGGCTGCCAGCTGCAGGCTTGGGGCTCCCCACCCTGATGCTTTTCCCCGGGGAGTCTTGCACTGGACACACACCCTCTGCCCACCCAGCAGCAGCTGGGGGTACAACTCCACACTGCCACCACCCCCACTGCTGCTCCCCCTGGATAAGCTGCCCATGGCTCCATCTCACTCCATGTCCCAGCCCCATGCACCTCCCTGGGTGAGCACCACCCACAGCCCCAGCTGCATTCCCTCCCACACCGTGGGGGCCTCAGTCTGCCACCCATGCCCCCCATACTCTCTCCCCTCCATAAACTTACTTGCAGGGAGCTGCTCTGCACACTGCCTGGCTCTTTCCCAGCCATGTGCATGTGTGTGGGTGTGCACATGCACGTTGTGTCCCCTGCATCCTGCTCCCCCACATCCCCAAGCAGCCTCTTGCAAGCTGGAATGCTGCTAGATTGCAAGGGGAAATCCACCGTTTCCTGCGGACCCCTACACGATGCTGCAAATCTGGGACAAATGCTGTCCCAGACTCATGCAGCCCAGGATCAGGACTTGAGGTTCCCTAACCCTAACCCTAACCCTAACCCTAACCCTAACCCCCCGTATTACTATTAGTTCAAACAAGTAGGCTCTGGTAGTCTGGCTGGGAGAGAACTGGATCTAAACACTAGGCTGGACTCCCCACTCTTGTGAAGCCACGTAATGCCATCAGTTTCAGTGGAGTTACTACTAGGTGGCACCAGGGTAAGTGAATGGTGAGTCCAGGCCTGGCTTCCAAACTGTGCTACAGCCTTTCAGGAGGCTATGACAGGGTTCAGTGACATAGTTTAACAAAATTTGGAGTCATCTCTGTTAGCCCTAAGTGGTAGTTTAACTGCAGTTTAAATATTCAAAGATTCACAGAAGTTTAGGGCAGCCTACTAAAGCTTTGTGTGATGTACTTTTAGCCTCCCCATAATGCTCCTCCATTTCAGCTACCCTTGTTTTTAAAGCCACCCAAGTATAAAATGGGTCTGAGCGGCACGAGGTTCACAAGTACTCCTGTGCCAATGCCCGCCTGTTGGCCACTTCTAGGCTTATCCGTGTTCTAACACAGCTCCTGCTTGCAGAGCAACAGTCCTGTTACAGCATGGAGTGGGGGAATCATGTTACAGGCTAGGTGATATGGAGACAGGCCCTAATGTCAGGCTGGAAGCTAGACGTAAACACAGCAGACACAGAATGTGACTGTTCAGATGAGTATCACTATACATGGAAGTTAAGAGGAGGCAAGACAACACCTTGTTGAGGTGGCTTAAACAGGGATGATCCTGCCTGGAGCAGGGGGTGGAATTAAGTGACCTCCTGAGGTCCCTTCCAGACCTATTTTTCTATGATTCTTTAAGTGTTTGTAGAATCAGGGCCTTCGACTGTCAGAGTGAAAGGATGTCTTTCTCAAGCTCAGAAGTCATTGTGAGCAACCCTCTGAAGACTTAACAACAGGACTAAAGGGAAAATTCTGGGACTAAGGAGAAAATTTCACCAGACTAAGGGGAAAATCATAATAGATAAGGTTCAGAATGGGCATGGTGGAAATGACCACCTTCCTACTGTTGATGTTGAGCTGGTGTGTGATCAATTAGAAAAGTTAGATATTTATAAGTCAGCAGGACTAGATGAACTTCATCTGAGAGTGCTGAAGGAGCTAGCCAAAGTCATTGTGGGACCTCTGGTGAAACTCTTCCAAAACTTGTGGCACTTGGGGGAGGTCCCTGAAGACTGGAAGAGGGCCAATGAGATGCCCATCTTCAAAAAGGGGAGGAGAGAGGACCTGGCCAACTATAGGCCAATTAGCCTAACTTCTTTCCCAGGGAAAATCCTGGTATAATTCATCAAGGAGTCTGTGTGTGCTACGCTTACAGAAGGTAGGATTCTGAACAACAGCCAGCATGGCTTTCTCACAGGCAGGTCTTGCCTTTTGAACCCCATTTTCTATGACCAGATAACTCGCCACCTGGATAAGACAGAGGAAGTTGACATCGTACAGCTAGACTTCCAAAAGGCCTTTGATCTGGTATCCCATGATGTTCTCACGGGAAAATTGGAGGATTGCAGGCTTAACTGCTCAACTGTTAGGTGAGTAGGAAGCTGGTTGTGGGGTAGGACCCAGAGACTTCTAATGAACGGATCTGTGTCGTCCTGACGAGAAGTGGCCAGTGGTGTCCCTCAGGACCATGCTTGATCCAATGCTTTTCAACATCTTTATCAATGATTTGGATGTGGGGGTGAAGAGCTCACTGGCCAAGTTTGCGGACAACACCAAGTTATGTGGGAGCGTGGTCACTTTTGAAAATAGGTGGCAGATGCAGGCGGACCTAGACAGGCTGGAAAGTTGGGCAGATCAGAACAAAATGAAGTTCAACATTAAAAAGTGTAAAGTGCTCCATCTGGGGTTGAACAATCCGCAACATACTTACAGGCTCGGTGGTGCCAAACTGACTAGCGCCACGACTGAAAGGGACCTGGGGGTAATAATAGACCACAGTATGAACATGAGCCGTCAGTGCAATGATGTCGCCAGGAGGGCAAATAATACTCTGGCATGCATCAACCGATGCATCTCAAGCAAAACCAGGGAAGTGATTCTTCCACTTTACTCAGCATTGGTGAGACCGCAGCTGAAGTACTGTGTCCATTTCTGGACAAAGATGTGGAAAAGTGTGAGAGAGTCCAGAGAAGGGCCACCCGTATGTTGAGAGACTTGCAAGGCAAGCTGTATGAGGACAGGCTGAGAGACTTGGGTCTCTTCAGCCTAAAAAAGAGAAGGCTGAGAGGGGACTTGGTAGCTGCTTACTGCACATCAGGGGAATGCATCAAGGGCTTGGCAAACAACTGTTCACCAGGGCACCCTTGGGGAAAACCAGCAGAAATGGTCACAAACTCCTTCAAGACCATTTCAGGCTTAACTCTAGGAAAAACTTCTTCACAGTCAGGGTGTCCAGATTGTGTAACAAACTCCCCCCAGAGGTGGTGCAATCACCTACCCTGGAGATCTTCAAGAGGAGACTAGACAGTCACCACGCTGGGGTCACCTAACCCCAGCTGTCTTTCCTGCTTGGCGCAGGGATCTGGACCCGATGATCTTGCAAGGTCCCTTCCTGCCCCTGACGATCTATGAATCTACAATTTATGAATCTATAAGCAGGGCTCTTGGCTCATTTTCACTAAAAAAATATACACAGACGTGAAAAAAAAAGTGAATGAAGATTTAAAAAAAAACTAACAAAGCCTATAAGGGGATCCTCCCAGAAGAGTTTAGTTCTCTCGAAAGGCTTAAACAGTTTGGATGTTTAGAAAGATTCATAATTATCTCCCATGTGTGGAATGATATTGCAGCTACAGAACCAGCCTTAGGACTGTGCTTGCAGCTGTTAAGATGTTTGCATAACTAGTCATCATGCTGTTTAGAAAGATGGGTGGCTCTCTTGTACTGAAACTTACAGTCAAATTTGGGCACATTTTAGGTGGAATATTTCCCTGACTTTGTCATTTTTCCTCCCTATTTTTCCAAATCATAAACTCAGCATAGCAAATTTAAGCAGTGAATCTGGATTATTACCTCACATTTGAAATGTATTTAAAAAACAAAAATGTAACCATGTAGTCTCCATGTGAGCCAAATCCTACATTTCTAACTCAATTTACACTGAGTTAAAGGCAATGAAAAAAGCTTAATACAAAATGAGTAAAAGCCTCAGAATAGAAGAGGAATTTTTTGCTATCTACTCAAAAATGAAATTTCTAGGAACACGTTAAGCTCCTGATCCAGTAACTGATTTACTGGGAGTTGTATATATGGAGAAAGTTTGTAGGGTCAGCCTAAAGTTGCACTTTGAAGGATTGTTTAAGAACTGTCATCTCTTTTTACTTCTTTGACATGATTTAAGAAGGTCCCCCAAAAGTTCCTCTCCCATGCTGTTTCTTTTCTACCTTACAGGGTAGAAAAAAAAATCGGGGACATTGTATCTGATTTTCCCTGGTTTTGATGGAGCCTGTCTCAAAGAATGCATACTGGGAGCTTTCACACCTAAACAAATGAGGTGTGGCCTCCTTAACAAGGCTGCTCATCCTCCAAAGTGCTAATTGGTCACTGAAAGTGTTAACAAAAACAAACAGTAACAGAAAGGATTTTAAACATGATGACTAAAATATTCTCCCTCTTAATTACTCACTTCCACTCTCTCTCCCTTGCTGTGATGTCATCTTTTCACTAGTCTTCCAATCAGCATATCTTCCAAGGGAGAAAAAAAATCAGAATATCTAATGCAAATACAAGAAGAAGAAGAATGCATTATTTTTATATTACATATCTGCAACACAGTAGAATGAAGATAGAAGGAAACAGTTCCAATTTTCATTTCCTTTGCTGGTCACCTTTAGTGTCCCATCACTATTAATTTAGTCTTCCTGATAGCAGCTCTTTGTCTTTGATTACTTCATTTGGTGGAAATGGAGATTTCATATGATCATTTAAAAATAATTAGGATGGCTAGCACAGCCTGCTCACTGCCAATCTCTCCTCAGCTTCTTTAATAAAACACTAATAATAAGCATGTTAAAATCACCCTGCAGTCTGTCTTTCTATCTTCCCATTCTAATGAAAAATAATTAAACCCTAAGGGCAAACCCTGAACCTAGCACCTAGACCATGTAGCAGACCTCTGGCCTCATCTGTGCCTCTGCTTTTTCATTCCCATCCCTGTGTACTGCCGTGAAGAGAGTTCCCACACAGGGTCTAATGTATCTCCTTAAATCCTTCCCATACTTTCTCCTGTGATGTGAAGCTGCACTGACTCTTCATATCTAATAGATCCAGACCATGCCAGGACAAGAAATGTAAAACCTGCTGCCACATCTCCACCACTCTCACAATAATTACACCCCACAACAGAGCCATCACCATTCCTGGATCTTACACCTCCAGAAATGTAACATATCTCATCTAGTGCACTGAATGCCCTGATGGAAAATATGTAGGAGAAACCAAACAACAACTGCACATCAGAATGAACATACATCGAAAATCCGTCAAAGACACAAATACCCAATTACCTGTGGGTGCACATTTCTCACAAGACAACCACTCTCCAATCTCTCAGTTCTAATCCTCAAAGGGAAATTACAAAACACCTTTTGCAGACAAGCCTATGAACTTCATTTTATACATCTATTAGATACAAAAAGTCAGGTACTAAATATAGACATTAGATTTATGGCATATTATAACCTGCCTGCATCTGATAACCCCAGGTAACCTGACTGCCTTTTACCAGCTACAGTCTATCACCAGGTCAACATTCTCCCCTCTCCCCTCACCTACCTGTCTCACACCTATTAACTCCTATTCCCTCTGCTGTCCCCTGCCACGCATTTGCATTTTCACAGACCTGCATTTTGCATTTTGGCTTAAGCTTCTATTCCACCTGGGAGAGCAGACAAACACCAGCAGACTCTCCCTATGCCTGAAGAAGGATGTTTGCGCCCAGAAGCTCGCCAAGAACAATTTTTTCAACTATTTAGTTGGTCTAGAAAAAGACATCACATTTGCCCAAAGAACCTTGTCTGCCTATATCCTTAGACCAACATGGGTATTACCAACACCCCTGCTCATATCTAACACATTCAGGAAGCTGAATGAAAATGCCATGAATGCAGCATAGTAGTTTACTCTCACATCTCACTTGAGAAAGGACTAAAGAATGAGTGAAGCCTCAGTGGCAAAGCTAATGCCTTTAATGTCTGAAGCTGCAAAACACACCTTTCCTCACAAGAACTGTGCATTTCTGCAGCCTCCTGCAGTGCAAGATCTCAAAGCACTTTACCAACCTCACTGAATAAAAGACTGAAGCCGGTTTGGGAAAGCAGGGGTGCTTTCACCCCTGTAAATGAGGAAGCTCTAGCACCAAGAGCTCCCATATTACTGAGAAATGCTGCAGAAAAGCCAGGAATAAAACCCAGGGGTGAAATATTTCCATTAGCGTCAGTGAGGCCAGAACTCCACTATCATTCTCTTCCTGGAATTTTGTGTATTTTTCATTTAAGTGTGGCCTTTACAGCTATGAATTCTCACACTACTAGACAGACTATTAAAGGATAATGATACCACAATGCTTCCCTGCTTTTTGCTTTGGATTGTAGAGGAAAAAGATTGGACATATATATTAAAAGAAAGGAAAATGGAATACAAATGTAAATTGCTGTGAAGGACTACATTGATCAAGGGCTTGAACATCATTATAAAACTTACTGTATAATGCTTGAGTGCTTTGTAATGTTACCAGAAGCCCAAAATACAGTTATAGCTTTGCTCACAGTTTTGTTGTTTTTTGGGTTTTTTGGTTTGTTTGTTTTTTTGATGGTGCAAAATGAGTCTAGTTGCATAACCTACTTTATTTTATGGTAATGCAGTTGATTTACCTCCAATTCTGGCCTGCTATCTTTATTTTTATCTGTTTTGTTAGTCTTCTCGCATATATTTATCTGTCTTTGTGTAGTGCATCTTATAAATAATAATGCATAATATTATGTGGAAACTAAAGCTTATGTACACAAAGCTGCAGGAACTGTTTCAAACGTACATAAATGTGCTGTTGTGATCATGGAACCTTAAATAACAGCTTTGGCAATGATTTCAAACTCCAGCCACTCTCCACTGCTGGACTGTAAACTTGCTGGAGTTATCCCCCACAAAATTTCCCCTGACAACTACAAGGGTCCTACCAGGTGGTTGGTATCATTGTAAGAACACTATGCCATGTCTTCTTGGCTGCTACACAAGCAGTACAGAAAGGAGGGTTACTGGATCACCCTATCAGTTTACAGCCCCCAGGCCCACCTCTTATGGGTGGCAGATGTAGGTTAGAACAGCCTTCAAGCTGTCCCCTGAATCTGAAGGATACTAATAGGGTATAAAGCCATCTTTGGCCCACCAAGCACAGTTGAGTCCCATACCAAGCACAGTTCCACCCAAAGAACCAAAAAACTCTGCCTACAAACTATTTGCTCTGCATGTGTTAGCAGTGAGCTACCAAGCAGACTTATTAATATATACACTTACATGTTGGCTGGGAACATATATCAACATCAGGGCACCAATAATGTTATAAATGGTATTTCATAGACATTAGGACTAGAAGGGACTTTGCAAGATCATCAGGTCCAGTGCCCTGCCCAAGAGGCAGGAAGTCAGCAATACTGACACTAAGTATACTATGTATGAAATCCCAGAAGGCTGGAGAAAGAAAACGCTATAACTACATTTCAAGACACGGAAAAGAAGGACCCAAAGAATTATAGAGTCATTCTAACTTTGATACAAACAGACCTATTAGATTACATTTTTAAACATCAATTTATAAATATTTAGAGGATGCTAAAATGATGAAAAAAAACAACCAATAAACATTTATCGAGAACAAATTGTAACAAGCCAAGCTAATTCCTTTATTTAACAGGATAGATGGCTCAGTGGATAAGGGGAAGCAGAAGATGTAATATAGCTTCATTTCAGCAAGGCTTTTTTGACACTGTCTCACATGCCATTCTCGTGAGCAAACTAAGAAAATATAGTCTGGATTAAATTGCTCAAAGATGAGCGCACAACCAGGTGAAAAACCACACTCAGAGTGTAGCACCATACAAGCATTTCAAGTCAGGTCTCATTAGGTCTGTTCTGTGCCTGATTCTATTCAGTATTTTCATTAATGACTAGAATGATGGGATGAAGAGTAAAATTTGTGCATGGCATCTGCTGAAGGCACTTGGGATGACAGGGTCAGAATTCAATACCATCTTGATAAACTGGCTACAAAAAGATGAACTTCAATTAATACAAACACAAAATACTATTCATAAGGTAGAAATCAGATGTGCAAATCCAAAATGGGAAACAAGTAGACAGGCAAGTATATGCAGCAAAGGATCTGGGAGTTGTAGTGTGTCAATATTCAGGGCATAAAAGGCAAACCTCATTCTGAAATGTAAATAGAAGTGCTATATGTAAGACATACGGGATAATTATTTCACTCTACATGGTTCTTATGATGTTTCAGTGGGAGTGCTGTATCCAGATGTGAGTACCATACTTTAAGAAAGATGTGAATAGATTATCAAGAGCCTAGAGGAAGTGACAAGAATGGAAAGTGGCTTAGAAAATGTGACCTATGAGGGCTGAAGGAACTCACTGTATTTTATCTAAAGTAAAGGTGTGATAACAGTCTTCCATTATGTACAATGTTATTTGATGACTGCTCTCCATATTTACGAGGAGGGGGACAAGGAGCAATAACCTCAAGTAGCCACAAAATTTAAATTATTTACTTTCTAACTGTAAGAATAGGAAAGCGTTGGAACAAATGGTCTAGGGAAGTTGTGAAATATCTTTCCTTGGAGGTCTGTAGGGACAGTTTAGGTAAACATCTGTCAGGGATTGAACAGGTGACCTTACTCTCCCTCACTGTGAGCACATGCACCAGCTATGGTGGAGGGCCCCTCTGACCCTACATTTCTATTACTGGTATTAATGGGCTTGTCTTTGTAACCCCTCAACTCAGCATCCACTCACACCCGTTAGGTTTTGGTGCTGGTGTGGACAGGTGAAACTGCTCAAATCTGCAAAGCAGAGAGGATTTTCCATGCCTATATCCTCTTTGGTCAAGTGACTTTTGGGTGTAAAAATGCAAACACCCCCAACAAGAAAATGCTGGGATTTTTCACCTGCATGTATAGTTGTTAGGACAGTGGTTTTCTACCTTTTTTTCATTTGTGCACCCCTTAAAAATTTCAAATGGAGGTGCGGACCCCGCTGAATCATAAGTGTGCATAGTCACATACTTTTGATTGATCACAGTCATCTTTTGAAGACCTCTTAGACATAGTCTATAGACCCCCAGGGGTCCACAGATCACAGGTTGAAAACCACAGTGTTGGGACATCAGAGGTGGCCTCTTCCACAGGACAGCATATCCACAATGGAAGACAAAACTGTCTAGATAAGGCCTTGAAATTATAAAAATGAAAGTAAGACTCAAGTAAAATGAAAGGGACAGAACAGGAAGTAACAGTCTCAAATGGGAGATTCAGGCTGGATATTAAGAAGAACTCTATAATTATGAGGGTGGTTAAGTACTGGAACAGATTACAGAGAGAGGCTGTGGGATCTCCATGCTTGGAAGCTTTTAAGAACAGGTTAGACAAATATTTGTCTGGAATGATTTAGACAGAGAAGATCCTGCCTTGAGCAAGGGCTTGGATTAG